GAGAGAGAGAGAGAGAGAGAGAGAGAGCAGAGGCTTGGTTACAATTTTGGGAGTTGTCTCCTGGACTTGGAGTCAACATTTGTACTGAGACTATTGTGAGGCTTTGGTGAGAGACTGTTATCCATTCGGCTGATGCCTTGAGTTGTGGTCTCTTCTTCCTCTTCCTCTGCTCACCTTCATCTCATTTCCCTGCCTCCATCATCCATGGTATTCTCCTCATGTGTGTGTGGGACCAGCAGGGATCTTCTCCCATGTATGTCCCTCCTTGTCCATCTCATGCGTGGTGATGTATGTGTGTGCTAAGTCCACAGTCTGATGAGTCAGATTGGTGCTTTCTCAGTCTTCTGCTGCTTGCATTGTTGTTTCTCTGCGCTTCGGTTATTCCTTGGTTCTGCGCCATACCTCTCTGATCGGAGGCATGCGGCAATATATGTCTGCTTACCCCTGCCTTTGAGAGACCAGAAAAATTAGGCCCTCCTCAGCTAGTTGTGATTTGATTTCCTCTTGTGCTTTGCTAAAGCTCTGTAAATGGTTTGACTTTGATTTGATTTCCTCTTGTGCTTTGCTAAACCTCTATAAATGGTTTGACTTTTTTTTTTAAGTAGGGCCTGCTAACCCATGTCCAAGCACTGTTCACGTGGACGGTGGAACCCTTCTAAATGGTTTGACTTTTTTTTAAAGTAGGGCCTACTAAGTCATGTCCAAGCACTGCTCACATGGAACCCTTCTCCACTTTTGTCTTCAAAGTTCTCATTTGAATATTAGGTGGTTAACTTATGTTTTAGGATGCTAGAGATTTCGGCACCTGAGACACATACTGATTCCCTGGGCAGGATGAAATCGCGACCTCTTCTCTCCTGAGACCTTTTCCTGATTCTGCTTGCCGCTATAGCTACTCCCGGAACTAAGTTGCCTTGAGGGTGCATCCTGATCCTCAGAACGCTACTTGCTCTTCTTCTTATCCCTTCTGGCCCTACACATGCAATTTCCCATCCAAGTGCTTTTCTTCTTCTAAGGATGACAAGCACTGGTCTTTCACGCCCTGGCTGACTTCAGACCGTGAAAATGATTATGGCTCCCTTTCTAGTCCTAGTGACTCCCCCGAGGAGCCACCCCGCTGTATCTAAACCAAAACTTGGCCAAAATACAGCTATAATGGCCAGACGTTCAGCCTAGGCTTCCCCTCTGCTGTCACTGTCAGCCCAGGCACACAATTGAATGAAGAGAAGGGTGATGGTCCTGAGTGATTAACACTGAGGTAGGATAGTGGGAGTAGGGGATGCACCGGGAGAATTGACGAGACGAGGGTAGGGAGGCGGTCTCATAAAGAAAGTATCAGGAGAGCCAAATGACCTACTAGTAGTGGCGCAGCAGTGCGCAGTGTGGTACGGGCTGGTGCGCAGTGCGCTGTGCGCTGGAATGACAGCACACGCACTGTGCGAAGTGCGCGCGCTGCGGGCGGTGCGGCAGAAGTGCAAAAAAAGAAAAAAGAAAGAAAACATTTATACGTGCCCTCG